TATATATGTAGAACTCGCTTGCAACTTTTTCGGGTTTATTTTTATTTAGTAACCCATTGAGTGAGTACATAATAAACAGTCTTTATAAATACAATTACGCAGTCTTAATATGCAACTCATAATCGCTTCATTAATTATCCTTGATTATATTATAGCTTCGTCCTTTTCAGCGTGCCCATTTGATCGCCTGAGTGGTGAAATAAACAAATCTGGAAAGCGCCTTGTTACTTAAGTTGTTAAGCACAAAAGGAAAGACAAGTAAGTGGCTCAAATACAGTCGTTCGATTCAGACCAAGTCGATCACTCACAGCAATTAAACCTGCGAAGCTATAATGGCAGACACGCTAACAACAAAACACTGGTTACAAAAGAACATCGGAAGTGCTTGTGATTTCTGCTTTGGCTTGCTGCCTACCAAAACTAACCCAGCGCCGAGTGCGAATTGTCACCTCACATTGTGTATATACGCCTTAATTTCTTGTTCCCTTTTTTTTAATTCCGCGTCCTAAAAGTGTTTTTTTTTTTTCATTTTTCTCTCTTCTACTTTCGCCCTACCGATCGACGATTTACTTTTTTCTCATCCGAATCACTGCCCTCGAGGCTGTTACCGAGAGAGAAACTGCTTCCAATCGTTTGCCGGATTTCCCTACGTACTCATCCGGTTCGTGCCTGGCGCTCGGTCGTACGCTGTTAAGTAGACACTGCTGTTTGTCGAGCTAGCCTGACTTGGTTCGGCTTGATCTACTGGCCGTGCCTTCTGGCTCCTTTTTCCGAAACTCCTCGGCCCGCTAGCTGCAGAAGCGGCAGAAATCGGTGGCCGAGTTTCTAGCTCTAGTCAACAACCCTAGCTTTTACGTCAGTTTGTCTCTGACAATCAGCCCTTTCCTCTGACCAACTGGAGCACTGGCAACCGGAAAACGAGGGAACCGCCGTCCTTCGGCCGTTCCAATCCCTTCGAGCTTTTCCTTTTTTTTTGTTTTGCACTTCACCCTCACACAATGAGAGTTTTTGTTAGTTACATTTATGCCTCTATTTTTCTCAGTTCGTTATGAGGGAACGTCACGGGTAGATAACGGTGCTCTGTAGTTTGGCAGCGCCAGCAACAGACACGTTTAGTCGATAGTAAAAGTGAAGACTGGGGTGCCTCTGAGAGAGACTGAAGGTTGAAATACTATTTTCCATTCAATGGATGCATATACATATCATTATGCTGTATATCATACCTCTTAGATGTATTTTATTAACCCATTTTGCTTAGATATGGAAGGTACTACTCATAGATAACTGGTAGGCGAGTTGTTGTAAGCTTAGGGAAAAGCAAAAAAAAATAGTAGACGGAGATTGATGTGCTACTGCTTAAGGATCTGTTGGGACATATGACAGAATACGTAACCAACTAGACGTCACATAGCAATATTGGCAATCTACTGTCTTGAAAACGTTATCTTTTAATCAAATTTAAAGCCATAGTGTATGCATGCGTACGATTCTACGTCCAATTTAGCAGCTTCAGTAGACCAGACCAGTTAATATCAGCGGGAGGCCAGATCTCGATGTAATTTTATTTCAAGTAAAAAAAAAACTCATATAAAACAAATGTGCATTTTTTCTCAAAGGTCCTCCACTTACTATTTTGGAATGGCATCACCGTTACCTACTTATCTTCACTTGCTATTAGCCGCATCTATTCACCATTACGGCCATTTTGTCCACCCATTTTCTTTAAATTAAATTTACATAGATAATAAAATTAGATTAAATTTTAGCCAAAAATCATCTTGGTACCCAGGTATATTTGCACGATGGCAAATTTAAATCACGTAAAACCAGTCTTTTGCAACTGTCGTCGTTGTCTGCAAATCGTCGTCGAAGTACTAGACAAGTCCATATTTGCATCACAACTCGGCTTGCTCGGATGCGCTAAAACATATGCTAGCGGATTTTTTGAAATGCCTCAGCAGAAAAAGGTACGGAATCAACTTGGGACTCCATGTTCTCACTACTAGCGCTGATGGTAATAATGCGCCGCGTAGTAAGGATCGAATAAATTCGAAAATAGAAATTCTATTCCACGAAGTAATACGGCACCGAATCGAACTATTTCGGTATTAGCAAGAAGTCTCTTGTAGCGTTACTGTTAGAGGATGTTGGACGAACAATAGTAAATAGTCACTTCGCATGTTTTGTCTGCGAAAAAGGATATCCGAGCGGTTTGTCAAATATGCCCCGACAACATACAAACCCGCAGGATCAATTCAGGTACACACGGACAAGTCACGGTAGCTAAAATCCCGGTTGGCATTAATCTGTTAATGTAGTTATATATGTAGTTTGTAGATCATCACGACACTGCACCACTCAGTCACTAGCAAAAAAAACTGCCTTTTGTTAGATACTAAGATTTCGTCATTTCATACATGCACGCCGACTCTCCGTTATTAAATAAACGTGCAGCAGTACTTCAAATAGTCGATCTGTGCGGGTAAGTTACACGTTGCGAGAAACGCAAAACGTGTTTCAACTATATTAACCCACGCTGCTTTAATTATTGTACACGTGAATTTCTAGTAATATAATAAAAGGGCTTAATTTAAAAAGAAAGAAACCTAAGCGAGGCACAATAAGGGCGCGCCGTTTATGCTTACGCGGAAACGTTGTTTGGCACAAAATTAACCTGTCCTTTTCGTCATTAAATGGGCCTTTCTCTTGTGTCAGGTGCAGAAAGAACGCCGTTTGCTTAACCTCTTGCTCAGCTATCACGTAGCGGTAGCGTTCAGAAGTTTCCTTCCGAACACAACGAACACACGCTTGACTACAAGGAAACTATTCCAAAAAAAAAAAACAGCTAGTTCAATTCATCCAAAGGGGGGGTGAAGGGGAACGATGTTTGGTTACAAAACTTCGTAGCAATAAATAATATCTATATATCACAGTATTATTGATTTTAATAACGTACCTTTTCCATAACGGTGTACTCCTCGGTAAGTTTGGTGCCTTCTGCACCTCCAATCTTCTCGCTGACATACTGAAACCAATCAGAAAAATAGGTTAGAATTTGGCAACTTCTAGTCGGCAGTAACTGTTAATATTCAGAAACGATTTATGCAAGCGTATAGAGTTCTTATCCTGGTACGGAAAAGGGCGAATATTTGGCTTCGCACCCGATAAACAAAGTTCTGTCTTCCGTAGGCACAGTCCTATCCGCGTTCCTTCCGCGCATGGGGCAGAATTGCTGACCGAATCTTCGAATGACCTTCAACGAGAGCAGCATTATAACCATACAGAATCAAATAAGCCGACCAAAGGCGCTTTTGCTCTCGCCCACCGCTTGTATTTATTATGGCTATAGAACATCCCATATCTGATATAGCCTCTATACATCTAATCCCATCTCATATGGTTGTCTTGTAAGAGTATATGGCAGCCAAACCAAAACGGGTCAGTAGTTTTTCGCGCAGTAAACGGGTGATTTGAGCATTACTTGCATTATACTACGAACCTATTTAAGAGCGGGTCAAATAGTCCATTGTAACCATTGTCTTCGTTTATATGTGGGCCAATTTACCAGGTCGTAGAACGAAACAGGGAACAGCTAAGACGCGCTTCGACCTAAGTCGGTTACTATATGCAAACAATGTAACAAGATAATACGTTAATTAATGGCATGTTTACCATCAATTCTGATTAGACGAAAGCGCCTGGATGTCCAGTTATATTCACGTGACGAAAGCCGCTACCTAGCTTCTTCGTTCAAGAACCATTGCCACTGTATCTCGCTTGAAAGCTCAGTTCGAAAAATAAATGTCTTAACGACAATGACGATGATGATAAACCCTCGACTCAACCTTACTTTCCACATACTTACGACCATATACGACGGCGCATTTTTGGTGGCGTATCCCTCCTATAGTGTAATACAACGCTAATTACTGCAAGTTGCAGGCTGCTTTTCCACAAAGGATAGGATCCATGGTGTACGCTCTGCCGTGATGCTATAAAACTACATTTTCTATTACTCTTTTTGGTTGGGCAGAACGGCATTAGTAATAGACGCGGTCGAGCACTGTAACTATTCTAACTGGTCTCATCGTGTAAAGTGGAGGAAGATAGAGCGCCTTCTCATTGCGTTCAACGAAAGGTTAGAACGGAATGAGTCGTCTAAGGCTCCAAGCAAACCCTACGGCTATGAAAGAGGTCAAAACAATGCGATGATTTAAGGGTCCTCGAAAAGCAACTTTGTTAGGAATTGCGCTATAAATCACGTATTGTACGTCGTATAGTGATTCAGAAATGTGTCATTTTTATTATGACTCGTATATATAGATAGATATATTAGAAAGTATGTATATAGATAGTAAGTTGAGTCATCCCGCCAGCCCGTGTGTCCTAGAAAGAAAATGTTATTTGAAGTTTTTCAAAACTTCAAAAAGTTCAGAATTGTGCGTATGGACAAGAGTATAAACTCTTGTCCATACGCACTGATTCCGTCCTATGGATGTCGTTACATTGAGTCCTGTCACTAGCCTATAGGCTGTACGGGTCAGGATAGGACGGAACTACATGGGCCACTTCGTTTCGAGCATATATGAAACCTACTGAAACCTTATCAACCGATTGAAAGAACTAAGTAATCAAAAAGTAAAACCCCGTTTGGTGGCAACGTATACGTAATATTTCTATGCCAAATTAAATAAAGACCTCGTATTTTAAGCATCCGCTATATAATACGAGAATATCGTTAAAAAGGGTCCCGTGCGTCTGTTCTTGAAAGAACTTCACTATATAATGTATCATAGTGGGAAAGCAATTTGTTGTCTGATGATACACACCACATAGTGGACAATGACATTCTTGTATCAGGATCCACTATGGATAATTATGATAATTACGATTTTCATACAAATCGAGTCAACTTCGGTAAACTATGGGCATATTGTTAGTATTTCAAGTCGATTCTAAAACAAAACGGGACTTGTGGATAAATCGGTACTTGCGCCCTACCCAAACCGGCTTCACAGTGTACAGCGTAGTTTTATGTGGACCTTGAAGGGACAAATCATAATGCTTAAACCTGCTTAACTCGGCAGTAAATAATTATAAAATATGGTCATTTTTATTTTATTCTTGCTTGTTTGTTTTTTTTTTTTTTCGCACAAAACTGTTAGCCGCTTATACATATGTGTGTATATGTACATATACAAAAGAAGTTGGAACTTTTGAACGCATTTTATGCGGTCCGTTTATATATATTCGTCACGATACGGAACAAGTCTCTTCCAGACAGCGGCAAGAGCTGCAAGTAACGAATTTTCTCTAATTTCATGTTAAGGCTAAAAAAAACTCCATAGGAATTTACATAATAGTACTTAATAATAATATTGGTCACAAAAGGTGGATGTCACAATGTAATTAAAGTGACTTCCTTCAGCCGTATCTTATTAGCTAGGAAACTAAAGCCTTCCTTGGGCCTTGTTCAGGATCGAATGTCACCGTAAGGGTACAAGGGGTACCGAAACTTTTGGGGAAAATTAGTGCACTGCTACGCTACTAAAACTATTTGTTATATCTTAGAATATTACAAGACCTGACATTTCATTATCTCATACGTATTTAATACGGAAAAATGGTATTTATTGCGAATCTAGACAATACGACTTCATTGCATTGGATACCTCAGAGACTTTTTTGATAACTACATTATAAACAAAAAAAATGGTTTTATATAATATAGAAAATCTTAATAAGCAATGAATCTGTGAGATATTCTATCCTGATAGTGCCGCATTGACAAAACACAAGCCTTCATGGTGCTAGGTTATTTTTCCTTTAGAATATTTTTAAGAATACATCACAACGGTTATAAGGTGAAGTTTTATCTATAATATAATATTATAAACTAACTTCTGAGTTACCTTTCGGCTTTCGCCTGGTCTAACCATGAATAAATATATGATGACTCACGATAACCGCCACAATATTCATATCCTCCGTATGGTTTTGCCCATATGCAATTAAAGTCCCCGCGACCAGGGACCAGGAATAAGAGAAAGCAATTAAGATCGAGTAATAACAGCTAATAATAACAATAAACTTCGAAGATCTTTCAATTTAATTTAAAAGCGTGGTAACAAGCCAGCCCTTCTTCTCGCCGCACGATTAGTTTAACTTAGAATAGTTGATTTACGGAAAGCTCCTTTTAGTCACCAGCCAAATATGCTGCAATCCATTTAAAATAGAGTCACAGGCCTTCTATTTCAAAAAAAAAAGACTGAGAAGGGGTCTCGCGCGCTACTATAGAACTGAAGAGACCAGCTTTTCATATCAAAGATTCATAAGAATTTGTCAATTAGGGGCACGCCTACACGTCAAATTCACAGAGAATGAATTTAGAGTCGAGGTAGTTAGCTTCACTATAGTTCATTTACTTCGTGTTAATTTGTATTGCTATTCTAGGATTACGTTTATAGTATTTAGTAAAAGAATCATCTAGGGCAATTATGTGCGAAGATTTTTGGCCATCAATGGTATTGATCTCGTTAATAAACGGACTTGAATGTAAAACTTAAAATATCTTTTATATATATCTGTAAAAGAATAATTTTCGATTATCGGGCAGAGATAATAACTTAGCTTAATCCTATGAGATTGGAGTTTGATTGTTAACTTCATCAGCTGATGTTATTCATTCCCGAACAATCTGTTCCTTAGTTTTGAAGGTAAATATAAATCTGGTTATAGTCAATTGCTAATACGCGAGTTTATTAGAGTAATACAGCTTATGCCAGGTTTAATTAGTGTCTATACTGAGTTTGGCACAGCGCTGCCAATTGGGTGTTCGTCCTGAACGGCTTCAGGACTTACTTGCAAGAACAAACACTAAAATTTAGCATGAGAGTTCTCGAAAAAGGATATCTGCCTAGCTAACTTAGCATTAGAATCTACTTAGCTATATCATTGCAGGATGCGTATATTTGTCCAATAGAACAGTCTGTGTATTTCGTTGGCCCTCTTCCTACCTAAGTCTCACATAAACGGCAGTTGCGTTATATGAAGAGTCTGATTGATGGTGAGTACCCCTAATAAATGTCTAGGTCATCATGGCCAATCAGTCACGCTTCATCAAAGCTGAGTCAGAAACGGGATCTGTATGTTAGCATTTGTTGAGACATAACTTCCCCAAGCTACTAACTAGTAGCTTCTAACTAGATTGCAGCGGTACGGTTCGTCAGAATTCAACTCAAACTGGAATGTTTACCAGGGCAGCAAGTTCCGTGGTTAAGTCCAGAATAATGCACCCAGCAATCAAACTAATTCTCTGTGGTCTGGGCTGCGTTGGAAAAGCACCCTAATCTCCAACAGCGTAGCAAAGCCGAGAAACGACACTCATTCTGAGGGTTATGCCAAACATTTTCCGCAAAACTTGTGTAAGGCCACATCTGTCAAGTTCTTCTACCATGACTCATCTCACCTCAAGAGCTCACATATCCATTACGCCAAACTACTGTTGCTTATGGACACTATGACGGCTGATCTACATGTGTAGAGAGTCATTCAATATGCAAGCCCAAAACACATAGAATAGGTGCCACACGCTAACTGAGCTCGTAGAGGCTCGCTAAAGCTGTGACGATTATTATAAACCAGTTAGTTACTACATTTTACATATTTATTTTCGCTGCCATTCGAAACTGGACAACATATATTCGTATTTAGTAGGCGCAGCACCCACTAAGGTTAATATGGCCTAAGGACGCTGAAACATTGTCATCGAATTAGGTACCCCACTCGGAATTTTTCGGTCATACTGAAATTTATATTTTAATTTTACCTGGATTTGAAATTATTCCTGATGTAATTTGTATATAAAGAAGAAAAGAAGCAGCCTTTTGGTAATTTAGGTATCATCTACACTATGTTAACAATTGGAATCATATATTTACAGTAGGAATAGATACTGATACTCGAGCTTACTACGGCTACTGTAGTTATTGCAGTTCCTACAGGCATTGAAATTTCTTCGTGTCCTATTCGTCTTTTCCAGTTGTTTTTTAGAGCAGCGATGTCCAGGCAGAGATCGCAGATTAGTTGCAGTAGGCTGCACGACACTGCAATGAGTGCTATCACGTCTACTTCTCCTATTCAAAGTAGAGCTCTTTTGCGCGGCAATTTGGCTACCGGGCCTGACCTCTCATGTCACCGCGACGTCCAACCCTTAACAACTTCTACTTATGTCCCCTAACTATTAGTCTTAGCTGCGTGAGCATAGCTGATATTTCGCTGGCTCGCGGCAATTGTTAGTAGGGACAGTGGACGGTCGAAGAAGCTTCGTCAAGGCGTTCACTATCTACGCAGTCAATAGTTATGGCAAGGTTTTGAATCCCATGGACGAGAGCACATAATAAACTTGTAATTGTAGGTTCATTCCCTTGTGAGAAGGCCCACTTCTAGGAGGACCTGGTTAATTATCAGGGGTAGTTGAACACCCGTTGCTTCTCAGCTTCCGCAAATTTGCGCAGAGTGGGCCTCAATGGTATATTTGTTACCGAGGTTCATTAGCTTATTTGGTAGCCCCGCACGCCAAATGACCCACACGTCCCAAGATCGGACTGCTTTCAGTATTTTGTTTTTTAAACTGAATACGTTTCACATAAGTAGAAACGATGCCTCCAATAAAAGGTCATAGTAAGCAGAACGCTGTTAATGCACTATCTACACGCTTTCCTTTGAAACGTCTATAGACAGTGCCTTTTTATTCTGCCTCAAACGCATAAATTGGCACATTCACCAAGTTCCAGCCAACGCTAGATAGAAAAACCGATTACAGGGATCTTGCGGAAATCTACGAATCTACCCAATAAAGCTGTATAAAAATAATTTGATGTGAGAGATTTAAGCAGACTACACAAAGCTCAATTATCGAACACGGCTATACGAAGGTAAGTAGATAGATTTTTGCACAGAGAAAAGTTGATCGTACGTTTATTTTACTCCACGTCCAACATTAAATACAGGCGTTCAGCCCTTATGCTGTCTCAACATTTCGTTCGAAACTGCAAGCAACCTGCCCAAACTTCTCGCAGTTCTTCCTGCTACTTTCGCGTAACAGTCACTTCTATTCCTCTGTTGTATTAACCTGTACTAAACCAGCTTTTCCAATCACTTCTCGAACCTTACGTTAACGCTATGTGAGACTCAATACACACCTCTAAAACGTTAGTTGAAGAACAATGTTCGGGATTTTCATTCGGAACTCAGTCTTGTAGGTGGCGCATGCTTCATCAAAAAAACGCACGTACAACTTGTGCAAGTAACAAATTACTACTCAAAATAAATGGACTACCACGCCTATTTCTAAACTTAATAATCAACTAGGTTTGTATTTGCCCTTGAACTCATTTAGTTTTGTACATGCAAAGGGTTTACTTTTTCTGGCAGTGAACATACCACATCTCAAGGCCTTTCACCCAACATTTTCCATGCTTGTGAGGATCAGTTAAATGCAACAGCAAGGACATGGACTCTTTTTTTCCTAGCGTGGAACGGCGCCATGCGGCATCCCTATATTAAACCTCTTTGTGCCTTTGGCGTCAGTCCAACATACTTCCTTCGACGTTGTAGCCGGACAGAATGAAGCACTTACGAAATGGTTGCCCATACCGATCCAATATTAAAAATCTTATTCATATCGTAGGTATAGTAATAGTTTGAAATTACCGCGTTTAATGAATTAAATTCTGTCAACGGAAGGATATTTTTCTTGAAACTACTTATGCTACGAAATAGATAATGAATATGAAGCATGGAAACGAGGCACATCTTCCTTTGTATACCTTTTATCTGTTTCGGTAAAGTTGTCTTATCGTGGAATATCTCCATATCAACACATTTTGATCTGTTAATATTTTTGTACACCAGAGTAACAAAAACACCCCAGTATCCAAGCTACATTATCAACTATTTAGACTCATTAGCTATCTATTTATACTCAACGCAGTTAAAATAGTAGGCTATTCACACATGGCTATGTAAAGACACTTAGACAACACCATCATCATGGAGATGGTTAATCGACATCTCCTTTCGATCCTAGACAGAGGAGGAGTGCTGACGATGTTTCCGACAAGACCATGGCAACAGAACTTTTCCTATTCCTAACCTCCACTGCTTTTTTCCAATTATCATCCTGATACCATTTTTTATACAGGGCTAGGCACATGTTTGTAATCCAATGAGAAAAGAATGGCAGTTTCTACAGGTTTCATACTATTGCGATGACTGCTGGTACGTGTACTTACTTGGTTCGCTTTGTTGATTTGTTTTCGGAGCCCTGCGAACGCCATTGTGGACTACAAGCTGTTGTTGTCGCCGGTCGAAGCTCGTCAAGAGTTTAAGCGGGCTGAAGCTGAAGGCCGTACCACCCTCGGTGGGTATCCTGACCCGCCGTCGTTTTTCGCTCGATAGACACTACTTCTAAAAAACGTTTCTTAAAACGTGTGGGCGGCTCCGGTGAGTCTTCTAAATGATTTACTATAACCTGCGGTCGTTGGTATTTTTCTTCTTTGAGCTGACTCCTAAGCTAACGGAACTCCTGACTTTTTTGCAGCTGACAAATTTGAAGTATCCCCAAATCGATCCAATTATCCAGGCTACCTGCAAACGGTCGATATCAACGGTGCCAAAGAGGCTGTTAGAATGCGAGCTCTGCGCGTTCTTTTTGCACCATCTACAACAGTGGTATATTGTTTCTGCGTACATCCTGTCTTTTCTTAAAGACGAGAACACATAATAGGCATTCATTTAGTTTTGTTGACAAATATTTTCGTCCGATGCGAAGTGGGCACCATATTGCTACGGAGAGAATCGCTGATGGATGACCTGCACCTTATATCTTGTGACTGACTCTTAATTTACTTATATTTGAAATACGGATATTGCTCTTTTATCACTGTTTCCCGTACAGGATTACATGCTTCTATCATAGAGCAATATGCCTTTTTTGTTAACAATGTCATTCTACCACGTATGCGTTTTTATATTGTAGTCAGACGAGAGAAACTTTCAGGCTGCGTTTCTAAAGTTTATGCCGGAGAGAATTTCATATGCATTTATAAAATTGTTAGTCTGTAACAGTGTTTCAGACTTAAATCCAGTTTAATCAAGCCATAAAAGTACGCTGCGTTGCCTGTGCACAAAGGTAACTTTAATGCAAATTATTTGTATTGTCGGACGCAAATGATCTATACGTCCGTGATGGCTACTTTATATTCAGCTTTATTAAGGGGCATCAAAATTCGTTTTTCCCTAAGCTCTTGACAGGACGCATTTCATCTGCTGCACCGGAGACGCGTTCGGATGTCTGCCCACGTTCATGGGCCTATATGGTGACGTTAAACAAGAGAACGTTTCAAATCTTTCACTCACGAAAAAAAGCAAAAAAGAAAATAAGAAACCCAGTACGAATTGTGGATACAAACCTACGCTCTGTGTACACAGTGGAATCTATGCTACTGTTACCGATAATTAGGCTGCTAATCCTGATAGGAAATGTTTCAGATAAACATAATGAACAAGTCACACACGGCTACAGGATAACGGAAACATTCGCTAAATAGATGTCGTGGACATTTCAATGATGTACTCTAATAATGGCTGTGTTTGCTAAAAAAAATACCGAGCTGATTTGGGTTGAGAAGAATCTCTTAAAAATAGTGGAAAGGAAAAAAAAGGAATGTATATTGTGCCTGGTTAAATACTGTGAATACTTCAAGCACAAGTTAAAAATGCCACTCATTGTTATTCCCTTCTCGTTATCGAATCTTTGTTCAGGCTTAGAGGGATTAGGTTTAATATTAGTAGAATTCTATACACGCACTGCATCCTAAAGCTCCGTCTGTCCTCTCGTTCAACGCTAGTACCAGCATCGAACCGAAATAGTGGTAAGTAGCATTTAACCCACAGGTCGAGCGAAAATCCCAGGCGAGCATGGCGATGTCTATTCCCGCCTCCAGCAGCCGCCGTAACAGGCAGTCGAGGGAGCCCTTAGCTCCTCATTGATACCATTTTTTCCGTCTTCTCCTACCCCTTCAAGTTCCTCCGGGCATTGCAACTTTCCTACAGCATCTCTTCGTTATTAATATACAACATTACTATCGAAGTCCGTTGCCAGGAGTAGCAAAACCACGAGGAGACTTCCGGCTGCGCTAGTAATTCTGGCTCGCCGTCTCAATGAGTCCTCGGGTAGAGCATCGGCTGGGAGGATTCAGTGAGTTAAGCGTACAGATGGAACAACGCAACTACTACTGGCAGAACAACAAAAGGCCAATTTATTTTGCAGATAGCCTTTAGCTTAGCTTAGCTGAGTAGCGCGCGTGTCGCTCCACGTTACAGCTTCTGTCAGTGCTGCTGCTGGTGTTCCTGTCATCTTTAAAAGCGCGAATCGGAACGCTTGCCGTCTGCTTATTCGCACATTAGACCCTGGGGCAAACCCAACCATTCGCTAACGAAGCAAGCAAGAAGCACCTTTCAGGAGCACCAAAACAGTAGCAGACATCCGGCACCTAATTAGCGCTGCCAGCAATTTATTGAAGGTTTATCACCGCTACGTCGCCTTCAAAGTGATGTCAAATTTCTGTGTTCGTTGCAAAGAGTCCGCGGTGTGAAAGAGAAGAGACTGCTTGAGAAAAGCATTTCACCGGCGAAAATCGCAGGGATAAGCGATGAAATAATGGCGAGCTGGCTGAGTGAAGTCGTGATCCGCCAAAGAAGTCAGCCGCGCGTTCCAAGTTAAGACCTAGTGATAACTACGCCATTCGCTCGAGCTAGACGAGCGTTTCCTTTGCCTACGTCGATGACAAGTGTAATTCGGCGATCCCCTAATCTTAATTGCTGTTGAAACGATAGATTGATCTGCAACAAACAACCTTAAGAGCGGATAAGCTTAGTACATTATCCATAGATAGTCATATATAGTCGGGCCCAAATCGCGTCCGTAATCGCCTACTTTCTATTAAACTAATAATACCAAAAATGAGAAAAGAAAAGTAACAGCTGGATGGCACAAACGAAGAAGGCGTAGTCATAGTTTTGTATAGAAACGGGATCGCTTGTGACTGCGCTATCCAAAAACGTATTGATTAAAACAGCTACGATGATTTATAAAAAGCGGTAAATGGATCAACGGCCTATTTTGCCAGAACCGAATGTACGTATAGTATATGTTGTTAGCGTTTAAGCTCTAAACGTTTAAGATTCATTACATAGCATATGATAAGCATAGAGTGTCGCTAACGTAGCTTTCCAAAACCGTTTCCATAGTAATCAACTATCTGCACGAATGCCAATGATCGTTATTTATGTCATTCAACTGGCAACGAATCTGCTTACTACTCTGGCTACAAATGGAAATCGTCAAGGAAAACAATGCAAGTTCATGGTGCACATAAATGGCAATAGATTGCAACATTGCCTTCATCTCAGCTTTTTTTCTACATAGAAAAGCCGAAGGCTTGAGTAGATGATTAAGTTCCTGTGGACATTTTCTCATTGCCCTTATTTGTTGGAACCAATAGCCTTTGTCCCTTTCGCTAATGAAGCGGTAGCAGTCAAACGCTTTTACTCTCCCCCTAACTCGTTCTCTCCAAGCGTCGTTGGCTAGCCTAATCATAACTTCTTCTCACAGAACTACGGCGGTAGCGGTGATGATGCAGAATGCTATGTCTACCTGCACGAAAGTCACGAAATGCACAACATGATATTAGCATCATCAGCGATCTGGCCTGGAATCATTTTTATCACTCTTTAGGCTACTGGCGGCCTTCATTCACAGCCATCGACAAACCATGTATATAAATGGTTCATTGGCTCGTTCCTCATCTACAGACTGGAAGAGGTTTCATCACAAAAACTGTCTTCTCTTCTACTTCCAATACGACCATTCCTCGATATCTTCTTCCCATATCGGGCTTTCGCGTACTCTCGCCTAACCTCTTTTCCTATTTCCTTACCTTACCGAGCACGCCGCGGATAAAAAAGGTAGACTTGCAGTTAGAACAGCCGGGTCAGACTCTTCATCGTCCTTGAACTTACCGCAAAGAGCCCATAGGAGTGTGAATGACTAGTACCAATGGGTCAACTGAACTTTATGGTACAATGGCGTCCGTTTCAGGGTACGGAACAGCGCCGGTAAGCGGGCGTTAGGCAGCGAATACTGAGTTGCCCGTAGAAACCTACGCTAACTTAACAGAATACACGAGTCAGAAGTCGTTCAGCTTCCCAGGGTGTCCCATCTCTCCCCTAGATATCAGATGAATATGGGGAAAATAGGAGCGGATGACCTCTAAGCAGCAAGGTTCACAGAGTAAGCCTGATAAGGCGGTACGCAATCGGAGCAAACGCCATACCATTACACTACCCTTCCAGGAAAAGGTGCTAAAGCGAAAATAGGCACGGCATCTGTACTATCATGTAATCGGCTCGATCGTGAACGCTTCTCTTTTACGCCTAGATATGCTAGCAAACCTTTCAATTATCATCGATGTCGTAAATATGAATAATAGTATGCTAGGTGTGACGTTGGCGTCCGCTTTTCAGTTGACAACATTCCGTAAAAAGTGCCGCAAGCGACGTATGACCATTTTGACTCTAGGTAACCGCCAGCTTCGGTCAACTACTCAACCAGCAAATACCCTCCCCATATTCTCTGTTTACTTTTTTTTGCCATTGTTACTAGTTTTCGGTTTGTCATAACCAGCGACAAGTATTGGTGGTAACGGTCGGGCTTGGTGAGCCAGTGTCACTGAACAGCTATAGCTCTGATTAGAGGCGACAGTGGATATTTCTGATAATCACGATCAATAAGTTACGACTATGCTAGGCGGCTGTATTTATAGAGGAAAATTTCGCATGCACCGATTAGCTATCGGACATGGTAGACCCTGTTTCACGATAGTACCGTCGTTGCGGTGTCAAACACTGGATATAGGTAGATTTTGAATCTAGCTTGTATAGTTTTTTGATTTACTTGAATACGGTTGAAAATGAAGCGTATAGTGAACTTTGATTGAATACAATCCGTTAGCAGTTCAGAACGCTCGTGATGGCTAGTAATTATTTAGCTAGGATAAATCGAAATTTCAGAATTGTGTATGGGCCGAGCAATTCAGAGGTGCTAAAGCTGGCATAGCCCGCGGTAGCAACGCCCACGCCCAAATACACACACAAGCACAGCCGTGTCGCTCAGGGGCTATATTTGATCTGACAAAGCCCCAGTGTCACTGATTGCCTTCGGAGTTTGGGTAACTGCCCCTCTGTTGACTCGTCCCTTTCCGTGCGCAGTGGTTACTTTGCCGACTGATTTTCTTGACTATTAGTTCGTTTGAAAAGTGAGCTGCCTTTCTGGAAACCAGACATCGAGTCCCCGAAAAGGTTTTGTTGCTAAGCAACAAACAGCATTGTAACAAGTCATGGTATACGTACGTTGCATAGTATGTTTATGTGTATATTGAACATTTATGTGCACATATTGACACAATGTGAACTACCATATTGTTCACGGCATCGGCATTAGCCATATCGTCGCACCAGCAGCACAACGTACGTGTATCCTACTGATTGCCAGACTGCGTGTTTTGGCAATCGTACAATATACCTAT